GGGAACCGGCAGGGGGAGCCAGGACAGTTCTTTAACGTCACCTGTTCTGGGCTCCATACTCCCCCAGAAGCTGGTGGTTTCCTGTGGGTACTTTTTGGGGGAGGAAGCGGCAGGCGCTAAGGGGAAGGCAGGCTGGACAGCGAGTTCCCATTCTTTAGCCTCTAACTTTTGTAGGACTAATCCTGACTAATCCGCCCCTGATCAGTAGAGACAGGGGAGTGAGGTGGGGCACCAGCGATCCTGGGAATAGGGAGGTGAACGCACTCCGATGAAACTGAGGCTCAGTAGGTGTGATAACACCCCCAAGTTACATAGTGCATGGTGGGCTCAGGATTTGAAGTCAGGACTAGCCTAATCCAGAACTTCCCAGTACCCTTCTGGTTTCATCATCATGAATGGGGCTGGATAGTCAGGGCCCCTGCAGTCCTGTCCTTGAACCCCCTTCAGGCCAGTGCCAGGTTACAGGAAAGAAAAAGAACTCATTCTTCTGCCGCAGCACCTCTTCCCCACCCCCACCTTTCTTCCTCTCTGTCTAGTTTGGATGCACGTCTGTAAAATAGGGCCAAGAGAGGCTGGCAGCTGGGAAAGGAGGCAGTGGGAGTCCTGGCTTTCTGTTGGGTGCTGCTGGGACTTGGTGCTCAGAGGAGGGAAGGGCAGTATCAGAGTGGGACTGGGAATCAGAGCAGGCTTCTTGGAGGAGAGGGTTTGTGAGAGAAAAATTGGAGAACCTGTGCAAGAATGGAGATAACCCCTCCCCGCCCCCCAAGCGTGGATCTTGGGAAGGGAACATTTTTGACCCTCACTGCAGCTTACTAAACTGGAGTCTGGGTGGATTTTTCTTCGGTGCTCGCAGCAGCCTTGTGGGGCAGATATGTTAGACCCATTTCACAGAACAGAACTCCAGAGACACAGAGGAAGTGAGGTTATTTGTCGGAGACCTCACAGTGATCTGGTGGTGGAGCCAAGGCTGGCCCTGCTAGCCATGGGAATGCGCAGTCAGTTTCAAGATGAGTCCAACTCTCATTTGGTCCCATTTGACCCCCTCTGGGCCCCCAAGTACCTGGTGTTGACTCACCTCTCTTCCTTGCTTGTGACTCCTGGGGAAGAGGGGTAGAGTTTAGCTTGAAGGGCAAGACTCTGCTGGGAAATCCACAGTGTTCCACATCCAGGCCTTGGATTTGGCTCTCTTTAGTCAGGGAGCAGGCATGACTGCTGGTGCCCCAAGCTACACAGAGCACCAAGCCACGATCCGAGCCAAGCATCCCTTCTCTGTATGTTTAGAGCATGTGATGGAGTGGAATTTTTCTGTTTTGCATTCCAAGGGCTTCTTCTGTGCCAGCCTTTGGCTGGGGCCTGGTGACACAGAGCCCAGTGGAGCTTGCAGTCTAATGTGGAGTGATGTAGGTGTCCAAGGTGACACTGGAGCTCACAGTATGATGGTGGAGACAGATGCCAATGGATTGTCATATACGGAAGTAAGGGCAATGGTTAAGGGTGAGAGAAGCAAAGGGCTTCAAGGAGGAAATAGATGCCCCCGTGCGAGGAATCAGGGAGGCTTCTTGAAGGAGGTGGTATTTACTTCAACTAGACCTTGAAGGAAAGGAGGTGGTGGGAGGGGGAGACTGGCTTTCTGTTGGAGTTTTATGAGGGTCTTTCTTGCAGGAAGCAGCTGGGAGTGGTGCAAGACAGGTGTTGAACAGCAGGGTTTGTGAATACAGGGTCCATGGGAACATGAGAATGGGGTAGATGATTTGGGGGTGAGCATGGAGGCTGAGGAGCCCATCACAGACCCCTGAAAGGGTTAAGGACAGGACAGGTGAGTGCCTGCCTGCTCCCAAGTCTTCAGTAAATGGAGGCCCAAACTGCTTGGGCACCTCCCTGGAGCCCAAAGCTGCAGACTGCTTTGAGGGAAGGAGGCCTTTGCTGCCTGATGGGAGAAGAGACAGTGCCCTGTTTAGAGTTCAAGTCTGTTCTGGGAACCCATGATGTTCAAATGCTTCCTGTCCAGAGCATGTGCATGTGCACACAAGTGTGCACATAAGTGTGTAAACCTGTGCCTGTGCACACAAGTGTGTGTGTGTGTGTGTGTGTGTGTGTGTGTGTGTTTGTGTGTGTGTGTGTGTGTGTGTGTGTACAAGGTCTCTCTATATAGCCCTGGCTGGCCTCGAACTCACAGAGACCCACCTGCCTCTGCCTCCTGAGTACTGGGATTAAAGGCATGTGCCATCATACCTGGACCACTTAGGGCCCCATGCCTAGGAAGGAGAATGCACGACCTGGCAAGTGGAGCTGTGTGCCAGGCTGAGGAGCCTGAGGTTGCTAACTCCTTCATGTAGGTGAGACTTAAAAACACAACAAAGCCTCCCTCTGTCTTCCTTGACTGCTCCTGTCTCCAGCATCAGCTAGGTTTGTGGACTGGAGGGAGGTTCCTTTGTTGATGCAGGCTGCTGCTTGGGCCTGGCATGGAGGCATTGGGCCTGGATCTGCCTGCAGGCCTGGATACTCAGGCTTGCTTTCCTCTTGACTGCCAGGAGCTTCTGTAAATATTATTCTTAGGGAATTTGGGCTCAGTCTCTTCTCTTCTGCCTGATGCCGCCTCCACATCCGGGAGGACTTGGTGTTCCCCAGCCGTATCTGTCCCTTGCCCTGCTTGCCTTTGAATCTAGATCCCCAGCTTTTGGTCTGGAGGATGTCTTACTCAAATCTGTGGATGGGTTTTAGAGCTGAGAGATACTACTCGTGGTTATCTGTGGGAACATGGGTTGGCTGATTGGGCTTCAAGGTCTCTGTGTCTTGCAGGCACAGTGGCTGTCTATTGTCCTGCTTTACTGATGTCAGTCACTTAGTGAGAACAGTTGCAGATTCTGTGCTGAGGGCAAGAGAATGATGGGAATAACCTAGAGGGGCATCTTGACTTCCTCTAGAATACAGACTGGGGCAGGAAGTCAGAGGGAGGCATCCTCTGAGATACCTGCTCTGCCTGCTTATGGGACAGACAGACAAACAAGCCTTAAGTGTGGAAGGGAGTGAATTATTCATGGATACAGCCAGGGACAGCACCACTTATGAGTCTGTCTTTCCTGCATTCTTCCTTTGTGATCGACTTGTGCTTGGGTCACTGAAGTCAATTAGACGGTGTGCTTGTACCTCCCAGTTCTCTCCCCCGATGGCTCCTGAAGAATGATGGGTGGTCTCAGTAGAGTGGTCCCCTTTGCTAGACAGAGGGCTGGGCTGGCATGGAATCCTGCAGGTGTTGAATAACTGGAGGTCTGCTTACAGCAGGAGGCAGTGGCCCCAGGCTTCCATGTTCACTGGGGACTTGGAAAGTTCACCATGAAGAAACAGTAACATCCATGGCCTTGGATTAGTGTGACTCTGCTGTGTCTCTCCTCTAAGTCAAGTCCTAGACACCCCTGTAGGAGTCAGGCAGGGAAAGGAAAGGGGGTTCACATTTTGGTTCTTTTGTCTGGAGGCTGTGGAGCTTTAGTATAAGCCTCTTGCCTTCTTTGAGCCTGGAGTTCCTTATTGTGAAATAGGAGGCTCGCCCATCTTCCCCCTGGGTGCTGGAAGACAAATAAACCCTGGGGATGTGAGGTCATGGACTTGGTCAGTGACAGTCCCAGTTTTCCCTAGCATGGCTGCCATAGTTGGCATGGCTAAGTAGCACCCAGTCTCTTCTCCGCTCACTTTTATATACCAGAGTTCCTGTGGCTGTTGTCCCTGCCCAAGAGGACTTTTCCTGTCTTGGGGCAGCTGGTGTTTGTGGAAAGGGAGTGGGGAGGAGTGAGGGAAAGCTGGCCACAGTCTAGTTGGTAGGGAGGGCCCTCTTTTGGCTGCAGCAGGACATGGTGCTGCAGGAATCTTTGCTTAGCTGGAACAGGAACCCTGGCAATATTAGGAGGCCTTGAAGCTAGCCTCAGGGAGCTGTGGGAGGATGAAGCATCTCTGTCCAGCAGGGAACGGCTAGTCTCATCATGCCATTTTATTAGTTCCACACACATTTGTTAAGCTCTGGTCACGAAGGCCAAGCCCAGGTTGTGACCCCAGCCTAGTGGGGAGGTGGATGCCTGGGAAGGTGTCGCCCTCCCTCAGAGAGGGGAAGAGACAGCAGGAAGGAGAGGAGGACTCAAGGGTGGGGACTTGGTGAGCCTTGGGCAGGGGGCAGAGCAAGATTCCTTGGGGAGGGCTGGGAGATGTGTGAAGGAAAAGCATAGCCTAGGTAAGTTTGGGGGTAGGTCTTTGGGGCGTGAGGGAGGGTTGCCACCATCCATTTGAGCTTCAGGACCTTCTGAGACTCCTGCTGAGGTAGAAGTAGGAAACTGGAGTCCAGAGGAAGCTTGGACTCTTCCCCTGTTCCTTCTGGGTGGTAACATTGTATCCTGGGTATGGCTGAGCCCTAGGCCAGAGTCAGGTTAGGCTCATGGCAGGTGAGTTGCCCTTGAGCAACTGATGAACAGAAAAGCCCCAGCCCTAGCAGGCTGGAAGTGGATCCAGGCCACTTGGTCTTTCTGGGGCTGTGACTAGCTGGAGAACCATGGGGGATGTGGAGGTCTGGGGCCCTGTCAGGTCTCTTGTTCCTGGGTCTTGCTTGCCAGGTCTGCCTGTGGCAGCTTGATAAGGGCTTTTTGTCTAGCCTTCTTCCCTTTGGCCTCTCTCTTCCAAACCCCTGCCAGAGATCACAAAAATGTCATTGTGGGGTTGTTTAAAGTCTCCAGGGTTTAAGCAAAACTATTTCCATGGCCTGTATTATTTTTGATGCTATGTGTGTGGTGATGGTGGTTCTGGGGGTATCTGGAGGCCCCTGGAGGCAGGAGGGTACTGCATTTGTGAGGTGAGACCACAGCCTGAGGGCTAGGTCCTGCTCCAGGTCAGGCCTTCTGATGCTGTTCTCTTTGATGACTGGCCAGTTCATGCCAGGCTGCTCTGACTTTTTGCCATGCTCTGGACTCCTAATCATCAGTTACACACAGTATCAAAGTTCCTCATGCTGTTGGCTCTGTGCCCAGAAAGAGAAGCCTTTGCAGAATGGATCTTGGCATTTCTATGAAACCCAAAGGGAGGTACCTCCTGCCAGGAGCTAGGGGTCCTGGGTCTGCCTGGCTTTGCTCTGTTTTTGGCCAAGTAGCTCTCCCTGAGCCTCAGTATCCCTGGCTGAACAGTGTGTGAAGGAGGAGATGGACATGGATGAATTGTGTGGCTGTCTAACTTGACTGCTGAAGCATTGCTGAGACCACAGAGATACAGCAAGGGGTGGCAGTCAGAAGGATGGGGGCTGGACACAGGGAGGGACTTCATTGTTGGGGGCTCATGAGGTGGAGTAGGGAAGAAGGAGGGTGGATGCAGAGCTCACACACCATCTCAGGAGATTGCTTTCCAGCCAGGCTTCTTGTGCCTGCACTTGACTTCCTCAAGGTCTTAGAATATAGACTCCACCTTCTCTTAGGTCAAGTCTGAGCTTTTCAGGACAGCTCAGATCTTGGGGTCTCCCCCCTGACACTTGTACTTTATCCTTGGTTCCAAAAAACCTCTTTCCTGGAGTTGATTGCTGAGCCTGGGGAGGATGGGTTGAGAGGAAGTGAAGGGAGGTACTGTTAGCTTGATATGACTATTTCCTGGTGACCTTTTCTGGCCTCAGTTGCCCCACCAGCAAAGTGGGCATGAGAAACATACTATTCCCTCCCTTTTGCAGAAATGGAAGGCTGGACTCAGGTCATGTTTTCCTAGTATCTAGGTGCTCACAACATGAGGAGCAGGCTCATGTGGGAGAAACCCTTCCACAACCTGATCTCCTTTCTGACGCCCCCACAAAACCCTTGTCACTTGGCTCTGCTGAGGCAGGAAGTGAGCCCTCAGAAACCCATCACACAGTCTTATCAGCTGCTTCCCAGCCTTGCTATCAACAGCTTGGGTCTAGATGCTTCCCCTGACCCCCTTGGTGGCAGCAGGGAGGGAGGGGGACTTTCTCCTGGGCCCCGAATGTGGGCTAGGCTGGAGGTCCAGGGCATGGGGTAGGGTTGGCCAGAGAGGAGTCCAGAGGTCATTTGAGAGAGAGCTGCCTCTGGGCCCTTTCTTCACACTTGGGGGCTGGGTGGGGTCAGGAGGCTACTTGAGGGTGTTCCTAATACTTGTTTCTTGTTCACAGTTAATCCCTGTTGTTACTATCCATGTCAGAACCAGGGTGTCTGTGTCCGCTTCGGCCTCGACCACTACCACTGTGACTGTACTCGCACGGGCTATTCGGGCCCCAACTGCACCATCCGTGAGCTAGGCCTCAGGCCCCCTATTTCTCCTGCTCTCTCTGTACCTTGACACCTCCCTTCCTCTCTGGCCATTGCTTCTTTTGCCTCCTTGTTTGGCTTTGACCCTACTTAAACATGGCTTCCATGTGAGCTCTTTTCTTGGTCCAGTCCATTCTGAGGTAGTTTTTTTCCATGTTCCCTGCCCCCTGACCTCATTTTGGTTCCTGACTCTTTCATGTATCATCACTCCTAAGGGTGCTGCCTATAGCTTCCTGTTTGGTCCCTATCTTCTTAGCCTGGGTAACTCTGGTCTTGTCAGAAGGGATGGACTCAGAGGCTCCTATTGTCCCTGCAGCTGAGCTCTGGACCTGGCTTCGGAATTTCCTACGGCCCAGCCCCTCATTCACCCATTTCCTGCTGACACATGGGCGCTGGTTCTGGGAGTTTGTAAATTCCTCCTTCATCAGGGAAACACTCATGCGCCTAATACTCACAGGTAAGTGTGGGGCTGGGCTCCTCTAACCTGAGGAACAAGGAACACCCCAGTTCTTAGGTTCTTGGCATCTGAATAAAAAGTGGGTAGAGAAATTCTCTGATGCCAGATAAAACAAGGCCCAGCACAGGAGGAGGCAGGGAGGTGGAGTGGGATGGGAACAGCCTTGTCATCATTATT